GATGAAAAGGAATGATGGTGCAGGACGTTCCAAGAGGTGTCAAATATACAGGAAGTAGTAGAAGTCTTACTCACATTTGATAGAGCTTACTCCAGCTCTGGTGTGTATAGCTTGCAGCGGTATAATCCCGGCTTATAGGATATGCAGTGAGTATCCTCTTCGGTGCAGTGACAGAGAACCAAGGGGGAGATAAAAATGGAAACAATAATGGTGAAACAATATGTTCCACCATGGGTAAAAGGTGATAAAATATAGTAAATACACTAACATTTGGTAGAGCTTATACTAGCTCTAGTGTGGTAGGCATACAGTGGTACAATCCCCGCCTCTGGGATATATGGTGAGTGTTCTTAAAGATGGTATCAGGAGCCCGGAAGGAAGATAATAAAAACAGCAATAGTGCTCTCAGTAAAATATTATTGGTATATAAAATATACTTATACAGTATGTAGAGCAGGCTAACTGCTCTATGACAATAGCGAAGGTGGTATGATCCCCACCTAGGATTCTTTGGAGTAATGAAGAAAAGTAAAATGCCAGGTAGTAGTAAAAAATAATACAAATGTAAATAATCAATCCCATTGATAAAGCCTATATGGTAAAACGTGTTTTGATATTGTACTGTTTTTTAAATATTGTTAATAAATAGATTTTGGTCCATTTTACTCTCTTGTACTATCATCTTTTATTTACAGCTGAAGTGGTCTGGGTGCCTATAGTGGTCCTTTAATGTGAGGTAAAGATAATGTACATAATGAGGGATTACAGTTACCCAATGAGATTGGCCAAATGAGCTTCTTAAGGATAGGTATTTTGTTGATAACATGAAGTATAATGAGGTAGTATGCAACCCCTGTAAGACAGATGTAATGCAAATGAAATGCCCGAATGAGGTGCCGAATTAGAACGTGGCATGTTGCCCACTGTGAGGCATATGACCGCACATTGTAAAGGCCTAGTGAGGGCTAGGAGTAGGAAATTGCATATAATACCAGAAGTCGTCCCAATTTGGTTCCTGAGTTACAGGATGGCTGTGCAGCTGTGTTGGGATTAATGCAGGTGAAGGAAGGATGTGAATCAGAGAATTGTTGTAGAGAAGTTGTATGTTGGTGATGAGATTGTAGAGAACTTGATAGAGTTACGAATAATCATCTAGTTATGAAATGGCAAACAGAATAGAAACTATATGTAAACACTTTTAAAGCATCACAGAATACATACCCATGGAACCAAATAAAACGGGGTGTCGGCAGACAGAATCAAAAACGGGAACAGAGGCCCGTGCCTCTAGAATGCCACAATGGCTGAACAGGCTAGAGGCCGTGACAGCCGTACACAATATATAGGAAGAGACAGGAGATATAAGATATACGTTAAAAAGACCTATATGCAGAATGCTTAGGAGTATGATAAACACATGCATTCACAACTAGCATGGAAGAATAGGGTTGAAAGCAACAGCAAATGCTAGAACAATGGTAGAATATCTCAGTAATATCAGCATCAGCCATAACTTCATGCCTAAACTGAACATGACTGAATGAGGTTAACTGAGTGCATTATTTGTAGACCCTACAAAAAAGACAGTAAAAGTAATCAAAATACCTGAGCCAGCCTAATATGACTAAATATGATTGACACGTGATCGTGTAACCGATAAAACAAGCGGCCTAAGTGGGCTGTAATGTTAACCATGTCTAAAAAGTGGATGAGGTTGTACTGTATAAGGAAAACCTGCGCGGTTGAATGCCGACCGAATTTATGGAAGGTGGAAAATTGATGTGCTTGAGTGGTCGAATGAGGCCATAGCAGATAACTGAATTGAAAGCCCATATCAGGTGGTAGAGGCCCTGTAGGGCAGGTTAAGACACTCATAATGTAGGGCTTATTAAGACTCACTTGTAAATTGCTTATGACAGGAGAAAACTAATTTAATGGGGAAAACTCACTCGAAGGGGCACTTTAGTGTGTACTTTTTTTATTTTTTTAAAGTTCAGTACAAATTGACACCTCCATAAATCAACCCCCTCCAAACAGCCCAACGGAACCCAGGAGGAAGCAACTGCCCAGAGCACCCAAAGACTTCTAATTGAACTGGACCAGGAAGTCTGTGACTGGACAGACACAGAAAGACCAGGCAGGGTTAGAAGGGTAGGGCAGGCAGAAGCAGCAGACAAGAGAACTGCAGATTTAGCAAGCAGTTTTAGATTATACCCCTATGAAAAATTACATAAATAAATGCATGCATGTTGTCATTCAGGGCACATCCACTAAACAGTGATTTCCACTTAGTTTGTATTTGGGCAGTGGCGTGACTCTGCATAATACATACATTATTAATAGAGATCATACAGAGTTGTAAGCAGTAGGCAATACAAAATGACCCAGGAATAACCTAAAATAGCAAACTCATTATTAAAAGATGTTATTTGCAAACGTGTGAGAAATCAGGACAATATAAGCGAGCTAGAATTAGTTAAAGCGGCACTGTCATGTCGAATCCCGTTTTTTTTTTTTAACCCCCCTCTCGCCTCCACTACATCCAATTGACCCACTAGTCACCCCAAATGCCCCTAAGCCCCTCACATTACCTATTTTTTAATCCTTATTTTCTGCCCCGATCTATATCCAGGGTGCCGCCATCTTTGTGTGGGTAGGTGACGTCCGTGTGGGACACGTCATCAGCCCACACTAGATAGACTGTGAGATTCCCGCACATGCCCAGTGAAACACCTGGACATGCGAACGGGAATTTCATCTATTCATTCATTCATCAGACAGACGAATGAGTGAATAGAAATATCAGCCGAACAAACAAACACAATGTATCAGTGTATCTGAGTATCAGTGTTTGTTTGTTCGTGCAGTTTATTACAAGGAGGGAGCTACCGGCATGCAGCTCCCTCCTTGTAATATGTAACGATAGAAGCGGCAGGGAGCAGTGCTCCCCACCACTTAATAAGCCCCCCAGGTCCCCCTCTCACTCTATGGGGGTCAATATAACCCCCATAATAGCACAAGGGAGATTAAAATCTCCCAAATGCCCCTACTCGCTATACCGCCTGTGGCTGCTCACTGTTGAAAACAAATTACATAAATTACAAAAAGGGGGGCCTATTGTCCTCCCCCCCTCCCCCACCCTGAGCGGCGGGTGGGGGCCATGAAGATAATGGGGGGGGGACCTATTGTCCTCCCCCCCTCCCCCACCCTGAGCGGCGGGTGGGGGCCATGAAGATAATGAGGGGGGGGACCTACTGTCCTCCCCCCCGGCCCCCACCCCTGAGCGGTGGGTGGGGGCCCTAATAAAACAATAAGGGGGGGGTACCTTCTGTCCTCCCCCCTGGCCCCCACCCCTGCACGGTGGGTGGGGGCCCTTATAAAACAATAAGGGGGGGGACCTACTGTCCTCCCCCCCGGCCCCCACCCCTGAGCGGTGGGTGGGGGCCCTA